CCCCTGGTCTGCATCTTACTGAAATTGCTCTTCCCGTTCTGTCTTCAGTAAGAGATATATAATATAATACAAATGACTGCTTGTAATATAAATTACAATGACCCCATCATAAAATATAATCATTCTTGATTAATAGCTCTGAGCCGTTAGTGTTGTTGATTTTCATTACATCTAGTAACAGTTAAACCCTCTACTCTTGCTTTAATGTAGTATTTGTTATGAGATTGGGAATACGTCGTCTGCAACGTGACGAGTCAGTTGGGTTTAGTTTTTTATTTTTATTGTTTGTTGTTTAACGCCACACTCAGCAATATTCTAGACTTAACGTGATCATGGGGTAATATTGAAACAGTGAGTATGTGTGGTGTACCGCCGCTTTGAACACTATTCAAGTTATAACACGTCGTGTCAACTTTAGGTGTGAGGACAACCCGAAGGGAAAGAGGCGATAGATATTTACAACATGAAACCAACGGGCAAAGGGTGCTGACAAACCTACAGGCCGGGTGAACGAGGATTAAAACGCAACTCTGCACAGCAATCGCTCTGGCGACCAAGAAAATCAATTGATCTGGCCCTTATAACAATAATCGATACAATGCTGGAAGCTTAAAAGGAACTGAGTGGTTGAAGCACTCTGAAAATACTTGCTACTCTATTAATAAAAGCGTTAAAATCATTGTCGTAATCATAAGAAATCTTTGGTAAAAACAGAGTCCATTGTACGATTCCGACTGTCGTAAGCATGTGTTTATGATATTTATTATAAATGTATAACTTGTTCTCCTCATGAAATGGGTGTTATATTGCCGACTTGGTTGATGCAGGTCATCGTATCTCAATTGCGTAGATTGATGCTCATGATGTCAATCACTGGTTTGTCTGGTCCAGCCTCGATTATTTACAGACCGCCGTCACATAGCTGGAATAGTGCTTTTACTATCCCCGAGTTGGTAGTTCACCCAGTAAACACGAAGACGACAACACATGTGGGGACGCATGTGATTCTGACGGTCACGTAAACATCACAGTTCGACCACTCAGAGAGACGCCAGAGCACCAGTTTGATGAACGGTCAAGAAGAGGGTAGGACCGAAACCGAGCTTCATCCAATGCCGCTCTGCGCCAGATTTGGGCTACAAACTCCGACTGTGATATACTCTGTATAACCGAGACTCATCTCCGTGATAGTGACGTCATCGATGTAAGTGGTTCGGTCACAATCCTACCCATCTACATAGACATGGCCCTCGGGGCTCTGGAGGAGTGGGTTTTCATTCCACGAAGTGGAAGGGGGATATAGGAATGGGTGCCGTCCGTCCGTCCGTCCGTCCGTCACATTTAGTTTCCTGAGCAGAACATGAGAGATATCTTAATCAAACTTGGCACATAGATAGGTCTAGTGGTGAACTGGTGCCTTTTGATACTTTGGGATTTAAAAAAACGACTTTGACTTAGACTGAAAATGGCGGTAGTCCTCGTTTCCAAAGCAGATCTTGAAAACCGTAAATGTTTCTTCGACAAACTTTGAACATAAATTGTAGTAAACAAAACAAAAAATTGGATGAGAAGACTAGATTGCGGAATGAAAGAATGTTTACCTGGACACACCCTGTAGAGAACGTTCATGGTGACTGAATGTTCGACCCCTCAATGCTCATTTCGAAGATGTGAAGAAGGATAAGTTTGTTGGAGTGGTTCATGTTTTGTGTTTCACAGAAACACACATCAATGATTACAGTGAAAGAGACCTGCAAGGATATCAAGTCTATTCAGGAGACACAACACATGGTATTGCTGTGTATGTTTCAACAAGTTTCAAGAACAGTGTCCAGCCATGTGATGTAATGTCATCTCGCAGTATTGAAAACATTTCCTTTCTTGTTGGCAGGTTCTACATTGCGTGTGTGTATGTTCCCCCTAGAGTGTCATGGACACGGTTCACGCATTCACTTACTGATTTCATGCAGAAACTTCAGGATCTCTCCAAGCAGCATGAATTCTAACATGTCCCAGTTACTGGGGATTTCAACTGTGATCTGAGTGAAAAACTGAAACTTGAAGATTTCTTTATTGTGCGGAAAATGACTCAACTAATTCACTCCCCAACTCACTGTCTTGGAGCTACACTGGACTTAGTGTCTACTGATCATGCCAGTGTAGCATTCCAGACTCCAGTCTACTACTCAGATCATCAGATGATTGGTGCTGAATTTCTCGGTGCACCTCATGGTGACCCCTGCTCTCAATGATCTCTAAATAAAGTAAGAACCCCCTTACTTCTCTGATTATTGTTTAAGTAAAACACAACTCATTTCAAATACAGTTACGTTTTCTATCACAAACTGCATATGGCAAAACAACACCAGTAATATTTTCTTTAGTGCTGTAATTAGACCATTTATAAAAAAAATGTCCATTGAACATAGTTCACAGGAGCTAATGCATTGCACACAACCGGACATGTCATATTGGCTGGGGATATGAGTATTTCATGCTTGTTTAATATAGAATACCTTCTTAGATTTATATGCTGTTACCGTGAATGATGATACACATGAAGGAATTATAGGGTTATTATTTATAAACAAATCAGGACAATATACAAAGTATATATGTGTCTGTTATCTACCTCCTGGCAATTCATCAAGAAATGTATGTGCTGAAGAATTTTATGATACTTTGCTTTCACAGGTATATGATTATCGATATATAAATTTCATATGTGGTGACCTTAACAGCCGCTGTTGCGATGAGACTAAGTACATAGAGGGCATGGACTCCCTCCCAAAGAGATAAGTCATAGACTGTTCACTAAATAACAATGAAAAATTGTGTATTATATTTTTTATTATTGCTGAATGGTCGCAATATTAATGACAATGAGTTTACATTTGTGTCAAACCATGGTATGTCTGTTGTGGACTATTGTGGACTATTGTTTTGTGCCTTGAAAGCTTAGCTAGGTTTAGTCATTTTAAGGTTATAAGCCCTTCAGATTTGGTTAATCAGTCAGGTTGTGTGGGAGATATAGATGGGGAAGCACTACTCAAGATAGATCACTCAATGCTTTCCTTGTGTAGTACCTCGAATGAACGGTACAGAGGGAAGAAAAGGGAGATAACTCTGTGGATACCATGAGAAAATCCTAACAAGAAAACCACCCGCAGATTTTCTCCAGTCAGTCGAAGTGAAAACATTATTAACAGTTTTAATAAACAAGACCCATCGGTGAAGGATCGGGTATTGACGGGGCCTATTGTGAATTTGTGGACGTCGTGTGCCAAGAAATGCAGGATAAGCTTCCATTGAAGAGAATCTTTATGTCAAAGGGGAAAAGTAACAAGAGGAGAAGATATTGTCAGCCATGGTGGAATGATATGTTGACATTAAAGTGGAATAAGACTTGGGCTGCAGCGAGTGAGTGAGTGATAAACAATGCACGCAGTTGAGAAACAATAACATGCATCAACCAAGTCAGCGAGCCTCACCACCCGATCCTGTTAGTCGCCTCTTACGACAAGCATAGTCACCTTTTAGGGCAAGCATGGGTGGCTGAAGACCTATTCTACCCCGGATCTTCACGGGTCATCAAAGAAGAAATAAACTGAGGACATATAAGTTGTTTAAAGATACCTTTGCTGTTGAAACATATGTGATACACCCCCTCGACAGGAGTCACAGGAGTGCACTGCCTAAATTTAGAGTGGCGCCTTTAAGAGTAGAAACTGATCGTTGTGAGACCTAATGAAAAAATATATTGTTACATCTGTACAGACTATATCGAACATGTTTTACTTTTACGTCCTATATATAACGACCAGGGGCCAATATTCTTACTACATGTAGCTTTACTCTACCTTATTTCAACGCAATGTCTTGTACAGACAAATTTATTAGTATCTTAGCAAACCCGGATCTCATCTTTTGCGTTGCCAAAACGTGCCATGCTATTTTAAGTAGGTCAGGTTTATATAGATAATGAATGTGCCTGTATATGTAAATATATACGTCAGATTATTCTAAGTGTATTGTGTATTTTTAGCTAATTTGGTCTCCTTACGTAATATCATTTTATGTATTTATTTAATTTGTTTTATTGTCTTATACATCGCTGTGCGATTGGTCGTACATATTGTGATAATACATGTATATATATAATCTGTATTTTTGCTTGTATTTTAAATGTATCTACGAGTGAGACATAAATAAACACTTCTGTCTGTCTGTCTGTCTAGATGTCTGTCTGCATCAACCAACTCAGCAAGCCTGACCACCCGATCCTGTTAGTCGCCTCTTACGACAAGCATAGTCGCCTTTTACGGCAAGATTGGGTTGCTGAAAGCCTATTCTACTCCTGATTTTCACAGGTCTGAAATGCGATTTGTTGAACGGATACAACTGTAAACACTACTGTCCTCAGCGTAATGTTACCGAGTTGCTATGACAAGTACATGGCAAACAGTTATTGTTCAACATTGACTGGCACAATGTTATTGCGTTGCTATGACAATTACCCACTGAAAGCAGTTGTTCACCATTTATTCGGACACATTGTCTGAGATAACATTTATCAACAAGTGTATACAAACTTGTCACGCGTTATTCATTAATGTTGTTATTGCAATTTATGATAAATCGACATTAGTTTCCTTGGTGAAATCCTGTAACAGTTCACAAGGTTATCTCTTCTCACCCTTCCCATGGTGAACCGAGCGACTGTGACAGCACATTTGAACCTACATATATACTAATTGTTTATCAACGCACTCGTAGATCCATTCTCAATCCAAATTGCGTGGATCGATATTCATGATATCAATCACTGGATTGTTTGGTCCAGACTTGATAATTTACAGACAGCCGTCATATAGCTGGTATATTGCTTAGTGTGCGTTAAACAACAAACACACACACTTAGTAATATATGCCGCTTTAACAATAGGGTTTGAACCAGTGATAGGTGAAATGTCTGATGTTCACGAGATCAATCAAGTCACAGATCCGTGTAAGGCAATAAGGCTTGTTCGGGATCTACACTCTCTCGGAATCCCACACCGCTGATATACATTTCAGCTGTTTATTCAAATGTGAGTCTAACAATATCAATTGCATCACATTGGGCTGCATGTCTAAACATGATTGGTTTATGTCGGCTGACGCCCCATTGCATGATATACTTTCCTGTTCGACAAATTATATATTTGATTAACAGAAAGGGATAGTATTTCCTGAGATATCTTGGACCATTCAAGGTATGTATTACTGTTGGGTGAAGGTGTGAACATCATTATCATTCATTCACCAACAATGATGTTATGATATACATTTTCTGTCATGTAACGATCTCTGTGCATCAACATGTCTCTACCCGCTTTGTTCACGAGAGAGGCTGTATTGTAGATTGTACATAGAAATATTAGTAGGCGAGGAGAGGTGAAATGGGGTTTAACGTCGCGTTCTAGATTATTGTACTTCTATAGTCACGTGCATGCACCCGTGTGTGTGTGTGTGTGTGTGTGTGTGTGTGTGTGGCTGTGTGTGTGTGGCTGTCCGGCTGTCCGTACGGCTGTCCGGCTGTCCGTACTAATACTGATTTTATAGTGCTAGTCCGCTGAGATATCATGCCGCAGTTTAACATGAATAACCCACTCAGACACAGAAAACGGACTCCGAGCCGACTAGTCCTTGTTTTAGCCCCTTAATGCTGAGTATCAGACAGGGTATAGTCTGAAAGTTAATTTAAGATACCGACGTTTACTACAATATCTGAAAAAACTATCGGACCTACTCCAGTCAAAGTTGGTATGAGATTATTAAACAGTCATACAAACTGGATATTACATTTAAAGACAATCGGTGCATGAATAAAAAATCTGTCTATTTAGCTATCACTATATTTCATCAACAACCAGACCTGTTCGTCACGGGTGGAACGAACATTCATTGTAACAGCCATCTGCATAATGCTACCCCTGCGTCACAGGGCCATATGACACAGTTGAACAAATCAACTCAACTCAAAGGTTGCACGGGAATCACACACGCACGAATACGGTGTTAGCGTTGGGCTTCTGAAGCAGTTATTTAATAATATTTATCCAATATTGCATTCTTTTTCAGGTCATTGTTATTGACTTGAATGTATCATTCCTTGACACATTATTATATTTCATATGCATGCATCATGTTATTAGGTGTAATATATCATACGTAATTATTTATTTAGACAAATCATTGCTTTATGGTTTCGAAGAAAATATTTTCATATTTTCGTAGATGATTCGAGACTTTCGGGTCTGTTTCGGGTGAAAGAGAATCAAATTCTGAGCCAAGAATTGCACAAAGTGGACAAGATCCGATAACGACATGTACTACAAAGCACGAACCTGAAACTCGTAGATGATTCCTAGAAATTCTTTAATTTACAATTTTTTTCTAACGAATCCCAAGAACTACAAGAAGATTTGGGAATCAAATAAGATATATTTAAGATTCTAAAGAAATGATTAAGAATATGTACGAATATGTAAGAATTCATATCCGTGGTAATTCGGGCTATTACATGTCGTAGTGAAACAGGGGTATATGTATTGCACTATTCTTGGTCCCACGAAATGCCCTCGTCGTCAGATTCGGAGTCTGTGCTGTCACCTAAATGAACAACAACAGGCTGAACAGTAACTGCTCGGACACAGTCTTGTTTCCAATACTCTTCCTCAACTTTGATAACATGTTTGACACAGTTTGCCAAAGGTACATCTGTAATTTCTCCCATCCCTTTCAAGACAATCTGCTTGACGTCGGCAAGCTTGAAGGTCTTATTTTGCCGTGCGACCATATTTTTCAATCACCCGAGATTAGTTCGATGGGATTCAAGTCACAGTGGTAAGGAGGAAGTCTAAGCACTTCGTGACCGTGTTCTCTCAACATGTTGTCAATCAAATAAGAGGGCGGGGGTTTGTTCTGAAGAACCAGTTGGTAAAGTACTCATGGAAATGAAAAATAAACTGTTTTGCTGGATTTAATAATCGACACAAAGCATTACGTAGATGTAAATACGAAATAAGAAAACAACTGGAAAAGTACTAGTCTGGATTTGCTAGTTTTATCTCAGTGCTCAATTAAAGCGCTCGGTTCAAAATTATAATAAAGAGGTATCTATTCTGCAGTGGGACTACATCAAATTTCAAAACACAGTAGGTTTATCTCCATTCTACCATGACGGCAACAACGCTTTGAAAACGGCGCTCTGCAACGCGTAATAACACAGGTGCACAGGCCCGCAATTTTAGAACATTCCGAAAAGTGGTTACAGGTGTTATATATGTAACAATTATTACTAAAGTCCAAGATTAAAAACACCATAGTCGTGAGTAGTTAATAATAAGTGTTCAAAACACATAGTTTTTCAAAAGAAGTTGACAAATATAACGCCCCTAACTTAGTCCAAAGAGAGATGTTTTAATTTCTATCAAACTGTTGCACACTGTGGAATGGCAGTCGTTTCTCGGAAATTTGTGCGAGAGGTCATTTCTTGGAAATCGAACATGCCATCATTTCCATTGTAGGGGTGACGGGTAATAGAGAAAAAGGATTTAAAATGCTAAACGAATGTATTTCTACAGCAAACTTCATGAATTAACATTCTATTATACATTTAACATGTTTAAGTGTTATTATTTAGTTAGCAATTACCCCCAGTAAACAATAATAACATCAAAATAAATGCCTCTACACCCTGAGCTTGGATGTGGCGAACTTGACCTACATCACGGTTACTCACACCTCACAGCTGTCAATGGCTGACAATCAGTGTTTACATTCTTGGTAAAGAGTTTTAGAAAGAGGCAAGATGACAACCCCGATCTATGATGTGGTTCAACATTAACATATAGATTATCTGGGATTGATCGAGCCTGTTGGTACATCCATATGATTACCAATGTGACTATGACTGAACAGCCGCGTTTTAGGCTGCAGACGAGCCGGATATTTTGAAACGAGGAATCTGCATGGTGTGACCTATTAATTTCAAGATTTCACGGATCCAAAGCCGAATAGTGACAGAACTTAGATATTTGTGTCCCAGAAATAGTGGATTGTGTATGATTTTCTTAATTGTGCGTTTTCTGAAATGAATTTCATCAAATTTGATAAGCTGTCACTTCAGTTGGAACATGAAAAATTGTTTTCGTGGACTTGCGAGGGGAGTGTTTTCGGATGGACTTTCAAATACTCTCCTGACAAATTTTAACGGTGGTGGTTGACGGAGATGGCAACGAATATCGATCAGAAAAAGGTTTGTAAACATGTTGTCATGAATAAAGTTTTTTCAAACAATTTTTATAAAGGTGTTTTATTTTACTTCCATTGTCGGTTGTTTCAATGAGGAAATAGCTTAAATTGTTCCGATTCTGGTCACCATAGAACATTTCTCTAACAGTTTCATAAACATTTCATTTGTATGCAAAAGATATGCCTTCGTTAAATCTTTTAATGTCATCATCGAAGCAGTCAGGGTTGCGGCCTAGAACGCCCCAAACATCCGATATCAAACTACTGTATTTCCTCTATTTGACACTATACGCCGTCTATTAATTTCGCGAGAGCCCTTGACTCAGCGTGTATAAGAGACCTGTCTGGTATTAGAGACCCAGCGTGCATTTGAGGAAATATAGATATGTTTTACAGTTTATATGGGGGGGGGGGGGGGGGGGGTTGTTCGATCAGCAGCAATTTTCTGTGAATCGATATGTAGGCTACCTATGTATTCATACGCACGTTTTTTGTGTGAAAAGGCTTAATATTTTTGAAAGGGGTGTTTCCGTGGCAAAAAGGAAACCTCTTTTTAACCAATCAGAATCAAGCATTCATCAGTGTCATGGTAGAATACAAAATGTACTTTACAGGAGGTAATTTGTAGGCACTTTCAACATTCAAAAATAAAACTAAGTCCAAATTGACATGGCAGAAACAGGCTATAGGCATTATGCAAATGACGAGCAATGCGGTTGTTGTCCAACCACTGACATATCTCACCTTTGGTGGAATTTGAGGTTGGACAACGGTTAATAGGATCTCGACAACTGTGATAGGGAGCATTGTCCATAACCACCAAGGATTTATCAGGCAGTGCTAAAAGGAGCTGCTCCTCAACATAGGCAGTGAAAACCTGACTATTCATCTCGGTATGGTAGTCTCTGCCATCTGTAGATCTGGATCTGAACACTAGATCACACCCAGGGAGGAAACCTCTGTGGGAGCCTGCATGGAGGTCAATCAGGCGCTCCCCTTTACCAGGGGGGATCTTGCGCTGTGGCTCTCTGGTATCTGGGTGAGACCATTGGTAAGTCACTGTGTGGCAGGCGTTAACCCAGGCTCATAGCCTGCTTCTCGTTTCTTTTTAATAGTGCGCAAATAATGTTTCTTGGTACAGACATACCGAACGATAATATAATTGCAACAAGAAAACAGTGTTATCACAATTCCCCGCTATGGGGCACAATAGAATTTTGTTTGTTCACATAGTGAGCATAAACCATATAAAATTAGTCCCATAAAGCCTTAAGTAGGAAGATAGGAGATAGGCACTAGGGTCGCTTATTAAATTAATACAAACGGCCCCTTCTCTGGAAAAATTAATTTATGGCACCAATTATCGATCTTCAGCAAAATTTCAGTTCTCTAACTTAAACGGTTTTTTAAAAAGAAAATGTGTCCCCTTTGAGAAGCGCACGGAGGGACGGACGGAGAAAGTCCGTTCCTATGTCCCCCGCCCAATTTAGAGGCGGCGGATAATAATGTTAGCCAGGGTAAAGATCCGTAGGTGAAAAAGAAAGATGGTTGTGAATGATGATCCCAAAATGTGGGTAGTACATGACGATACTGTCGATCCTGTAAACGAGCGGTGAGATGAGCTTCCGTGAAAAGACCGGTACCGATCTTGAGACCTGTGACATCCCGTTCAAAGTCGCATCTCCGGCGAAGCTCATGGGGAGTTTTCGATGATCGCTCTCGCTGAATTTTCCTGTCTGTTTGGTGTGGGTTGAATGATACCATGGCAAGGCCGCTAGTAGTCTTGTAGAGATATGTGGGTTATTTTAATGGAAGCCATGTACACTAGGAGCGTTAGATATGATCTGTACCAAAGCTTGAATATCAGACAGAGAACGTAGATGGTAGAGGCCTATGCGATGTAGGCTGTCGTAACGTCTCCGAACAGATGGGAGTAATGCGTTAGGGCGATGATGACGATCTGCTGGAAAGTGTATCAATATTGAACTTGATGTCGACCCCTAGGAGAGGCGTAGTGATGTCAATCCCCTAGTTGATACCCGGGAAAAACGTCTTGATTTCGACCCTCGGGTCGATGTCGATCTGACTGATGATTCCAACTCGAATGGGGAAACTCGTGCGTTCAGGACTCTCTCTCTCTGCCCTCTGGAAAAAGTAAAGGGAAACATAAAAAATCTTCTTTGTCGCCGTGAGCGTCTCCTAGAAACCTAGGAAGAGACTAACTCCTATCGGGGGTCAGCATTCTCATCCCCGCATTGTTCATCCTGAGCAGGACCGCCTCCGTGGTCTAGTGGTAGAGCGTCTACCCGGAGAGCGGAAGTCTGGGGTTCGATCCCTGACCGCGTCATACCAAAAGACGTTAAAAGATGGTACTTGTTGTTACCCTGTCTGGCGATCGGCATTAAGGGGCTAAAACAAGGACTGGTCGGCTCTGAGTCAGTATACTGTGTCTGAGTGGGGTATTCATGTTAAACTTCGGCATGGTATCTCAGTGAGCTAGCACTATAAATCGGCATCAGTCCGGACTAGTACAAGCAGCCACACAAACAAACACACGTACATGCACGTCGCTATATAAGTGCAATAATCTTGGACGCGACGTTAAACCCCATTTCACCTCACCTCATCCTGAGCAGATTCGGGGAATGAAGTCGCCTCCCTGCTGAGAGTCTTGGACATGCTGTGAGGCTTGTGTGTCTCGATCGTCCTAACCTAATGGTGACTTCTTTTTGGTTAGCACTGTAAGACGATCTGTGGCTGGTGAAGATCCAGGTAGAGAATAAGTTCTTCGGCAACCCAAGCCTGGTAGAAAAGTTGACTAAGCTTGTCATAAGAGGCGACCAACAGGACCGGGTGGTCAAGCTCGTGGTTGATGTATGTCACAGTATCCCAAAGCGTAGGTCGATTCTCATGATGTCAATCACCGGATTGTGCGGTCCAGACTTGACCAATTACAGACCGCCGTCACGTTGCTGAATATAGCTGCGTGCCGCGTTAAACAACACAAGTAAACCACGTAGGCGGAGCGCGGTCGAAGTTTTGATAGAAAAAAAGAGGAAATAGTGACTGTATAGTTCTCCACAGAGAACAACGTGATAGTAGATGGCTTTAAGTAACTTCTGAGAGTTGAAAGTCCACGTTCTGTATCTCTAGATAATGACTTCGATCTCCGGACAGTGTCGTGTTACTGACATATGTGAATATAGGTGCAAAATTCTTCCTCCAAAAGATGCGTACACTGGGAGCATGTCGATCTGCAGGAGAAGTGCCTCGAGGTTGATCTTAATGTCGATCCCAAGGGAATGAGTGTTATTGTCGTTCTCCATGTCGATCCCTCGTAGGTGTATAGTCAGGAGCATGAAACCGCATTAATAGTAGTCGGTGACTGTCCCTGAGGTGAGTGTTTGTCTGGTGAGGGTCAGCAATCTTGTTTATAGCTGGTTCATCCCTGTGAGGAGCGGGTGATGAAAGACGACTCTCGGTTAGGGGTAGGGGCACGTTGTTTCATAAATGAAGGCCAATGTTCAGCTTCCTTAGGGACAGCTTTCGATCGCCGGTCTTCTGTCCATTTCTGACACTCGCGAATGTATTCACGGAAATCTTCCTCTGATAAATGGGAGCACTGTGAACATCGGTCTGAAGGTTTGAACAGGCCACGACAGGCACAGCATGAAGTGTGTGGATTACATACTAAACAACAAAAGTTCCTGTGACACCAATATTTTAGTGTATTTTTCAAACAAGTAAAGGTTGGTTTTTCAATTTTGTAGTACATGTATGGAATCAAGCCACAAAAACGCAACTGCTACAGAAAAGCATGCATTCCATGCAAGCCCCATGCATTTCACTACCCAAGAATGGGTATAAAAACATGTGCGTTAAAGGGATTCCATATGCATTGTTTAGCATCGTGCTGACAACAACCACTCAGAAAAACAACCAAATTACGCAATTATTCAACACTACGATATACACGCCTGTCCAAAAATGAGAGTCTGCGAGCAATTGGTACGCTTGAAGCAGGATCGAGTCAACGTGATGTTGCAAGACAATTTAACGGTCACAGAAACACCATTTGGTGTTTATGGCAACGTTGGCAACAGACGAATGCAGTCAGAGACCATCCTCGGAGTGGCAGGCCACGCGTAACCAATAATCGACAAAACAACTGGATTCGAACAACACACCTACGAAATCGATTCCAGACAGCAACAGTGACTGCAAGAAGCATCCCTGGCCTTCGACGAATATCTTCACAAACCGTACGTCGCCGCCTCAGATGTGCAGGGATTATCGCCAGAAGACCCGCCAGACGTCCCATTTTGACAGGAAACCACCGTCAAGCACGTCTAAAGTGGTGCAGACAGCGTCAACACTGGACGGCCATGCAGTGGGGACAAGTTCTATTCACTGACGAGTCTCATTTTCACCTCAGCCACAGCGATGGACGGATTCGAGTGTACAGACGTCAAGGTGAACGTTACGTCAATCATTGTGTCATGGAAGAAGATCGGTTCGGGGGCGGCAGCGTTATGGTATGGGGTGGGATTACAGCAAGACACAGGACCAGTTTGATAGTGGTAGATGGAAATATCAATGGACAGCGCTACCGCGACGAGATCATCGGTCCTGTTGTTCTACCGTTTTTGCGTCGTCATGGCCCAGGCATTACCTTTCAACATGACAACGCCCGGCCTCATATAGCTCGACTTGTTCAGGATGTTCTTCAACAAAACAACGTGAATGTTATCCCCTGGCCGGCTCGCTCCCCTGATCTCTCACCAATCGAGCACATGTGAGATGAGATAGATCGGCGCCTTCGTCAACCACGTGTTCCACAGACACTCCAGAAACTTCGAAACATGCTCCAGCAGATATGGACAGACATCCCACAGGACTTTGTGCGACGCCTGGTCCATTCCATGAGACGAAGATGTGTTGCTTGCATCGCAACCAGAGGTGGACACACACGCTATTGATTTGTAAATTGACATTTTGGCATGTTCATGTTTTTTTTCATGAAATCACGCATTTTCTGAAGTCAGTTTGGCAAATTAAACCATTTGAACACTTACAGGAGTCTTTTATCTGTTGCAAACCAAAATTGTTTCAGATTTGGTAAAAAACATAACTTTGCATTAAATCTTGTTCAATGTCACAGGAACTTTTGTTGTTCAATATATAAAGAAAACGTGACGTGCGCCTCCACCTCTTGCATCCCGGATGTTTATCTTTATATTTTCCTATTGTGAACTGCTCTATAAAGGTTGTAATCAAAAGAAGATGCCCCAACCACACGCCTAAAACAGAAAGTCGCATACTTCAAGCTTCTTTTTGAATAACCATGACCCCCAATTTCACATGCTTGATTATTTCTATTTGGAAACATGGGCACTTACTCTTACATACATCGCAAAGACAGAACAAAAGAAGCAGCACTACATTAAAAATAACAATTCAAGTGATGTGGACCCTTCAAAAAAGGTCGCTCCAAAGATTTTGAGTTGTCACAAACAAAAAAACAATTTCGAGTGAATCTGACCTTCAATATCAGTGAAAGTATAATAATAATTGGTGAGTATTTATTCGCTACAGCCACATCTCAGGCTGATAATGTTTGTGATGCTCTTATTGTGTGTGTGAACCAATAAGGTGAGACCTTGTGCTATGACCAAAATTTCCTTCGCGATAATAAAGTGTTATCTTATCTCGAGCTTTGACATGGCAAAACATTTCATAAGGTTTTAAAGGATTTGTATGTTTGTTGTTTAACGCCACGCTCAGCAATATTTCAAATTTCTGCCGGTAGTTTCTAAATAATCAAGTTTGGACCAGACAATCTAGTGATTGATTTTGCTAGCATTGATCCCTGTTGTCGCAACCAACCAGGTCACAAAGCCTGACCACCCAATCCATGGGGCCGTTTTATCATGACATTTGAATACATATGTTTGAGAGTGGGTTACAATTTACAATTTATCATCGCATCAGCATTATTTTAGCCATATAGCGACCTTTAAGAGTATCTAGGGACTTTGAAATTTATACATATTTTATCAGAGCATTGTCTTGCCATAAATAAATATCTGTAATGTGGGAACAACGTCACTTTCAGAGAGTGTCAAGTGACCCGATCAGCCTATCCAAATTCCAGCCATGGGGACGGCCTCTGCTGAGTACCTGATTCTTGATATGAATGCAAATGGGTCCAGTGGTGAAGGGATGAGCCAATCGAGAAAGAAGCACATTGCAGATGTGTTGAGAACAGAGGAACCTCTGCTAGTTTTCCTCCAAGAGTTCTTATGGAAACAGCGTATTCACACATGGGGCATGAATGTTCCAGACCATTTTAACAACATAGGCGACAAGGAAGCAGGTTTCATATTTGATGAGAGAAAAATAGAACTTATTAATCCATGTGATAAAGAGACGTTTGAGAGGGAAAGGATTAGCTTACTCAATCAGATCTTTGTTTTTACAAGACTTTGTGTCTATAAAATCAAAAGCAAAAAGGCTCCTAATTTTGAGATACTATGTGCCAGTTGGCATGGTCCTTATAAGATCACACATGAGAGAAAGGAACGTGTCCTTGACCTGATGCTCGAATATCTCCTGGGTCTGAAAGAAAAGGAGGGTAATATTCCATTGGTGATTGGGGGTGACTTCAACTTAGTGGCGTCTGTTGTAAGGAGCAGACTCCCATCTAATAGGGGTCTAGTGCTTCAACAAATGACACCAAATGACTATATAGATATGTTCATCACAAGCTACGATTTGGGGGAAATGTTTAGCATTTCACACTTTGAAACTATGACAGAAAATTCAGAATTTGACCATTTGCATTTGAAAATGAAATTGTCAAACATAAATGACCCTGAACTGCCAACAGGTAACAAAGGGTCACATGAAAGTTCAGGGGATGAAAGCAAACAGGAAATGAAACGGTCAGGTGAAAGTTCTGTATTAAACTTGTCACAATTTGAAAAGATAAGATCGCCATCAGGGGAAGAAAGCAAAAGGGAAGTGAAAGAACAAGGTGAAAGTTCTGGACAAAACTCGTCATCAGTGGAACAGAAAACATCGCCATCAGGGGATGAAAGCAAACACGAAATGAAAGGACCAGGTGAAAGTTCTGGGCAAAACTTGTCACCCGTGGAAAAGAAAACATCGCCATCAGGGGATGAAAGCAAACAGGAAATGAAAGGGCTGGGTGAAAGTTCTGGACAAAACTCGTCATCAGTGGAACAGAAAACATCGCCATCAGGGGATGAAAGCAAACAGGAAATGAAAGGACCAGGTGAAAGTTCTGGACAAAACTTGTCATCAGTGGAAAAGAAACCATCGCCATCAGGGGATGAAAGCAAACAGGAAATGAAAGGGCTGGGTGAAAGTTCTGGACAAAACTTGTCATCAGTGGAAAAGAAAACATCGCCATCAGGGGATGAAAGCAAACAGGAAATGAAAGGGCCAGGTGAAAGTTCTGGACAAAACTTGTCACCCGTGGAAAAGAAAACATCGCCATCAGGGGATGAAAGCAAACAGGAAATGAAAGGACCAGGTGAAAGTTCTGGACAAAACTTGTCACCATTGGAAAAGAAAACATCGCCATCAGGGGATGAAAGCAAACAGGAAATGAAAGGACCAGGTGAAAGTTCTGGACAAAACTTGTCAGCAGTGGAAAAGAAACCATCGCCATCAGGGGATGAAACCAAACAGGAAATGAAAGGACCGGGTGAAAGTTCTGGACAAAACTTGTCACCATTGGAAAAGAAACCATCGCCATCAGGGGATGAAAGCAAACATGGAATGAAAGGGTCGGGTGAAAGTTCTGGACAAAACTTGGAAAAGAAAACATCGCCATCGGGGGATGAAAGCAAACAGGAAATGAAAGGACCAGGTGAAAGTTCTGGACAAAACTTGTCACCATTGGAAAAGAAAACATCGCCATCAGGGGATGAAAGCAAACAGGAAATGAAAGGACCAGGTGAAAGTTCTGGACAAAACTTGTCAGCAGTGGAAAAGAAACCATCGCCATCAGGGGATGAAACCAAACAGGAAATGAAAGGACCGGGTGAAAGTTCTGGACAAAACTTGTCACCATTGGAAAAGAAACCATCGCCATCAGGGGATGAAAGCAAACATGGAATGAAAGGGTCGGGTGAAAGTTCTGGACAAAACTTGGAAAAGAAAACATCGCCATCGGGGGATGAAAGCAAACAGGAAATGAAAGGGTCGGGTGAAAGTTCTGGACAAAACTTGTCACCATTGGAAAAGAAAACATCGCCATCAGGGGATGAAAGCAAACAGGAAATGAAAGGACCAGGTGAAAGTTCTGGACAAAACTTGTCATCAGTGGAAAAGAAAAGATCGCCATCAATGGATGAAAGCAAACAGGAAATGAAAGGACCAGGTGAAAGTTCTGGACAAAACTTGTCACCATTGGAAAAGAAAACATCGCCATCAGGGGATGAAAGCAAACAGGAAATGAAAGGGTCGGGTGAAAGTTCTGGACAAAACTTGTCATCAGTGGAAAAGAAAACATCGCCATCAGGGGATGAAAGCAAACAGGAAATGAAAGGGTCGGGTGAAAGTTCTGGACAAAACTTGTCACCATTGGAAAAGAAAACATCGCCATCAGGGGATGAAAGCAAACAGGAAATGAAAGGGCTGGGTGAAAGTTCTGGACAAAACTTGTCATCAGTGGAAAAGAAAACATCGCCATCAGGGGATGAAAGCAAACAGGAAATGAAAGGGTCGGGTGAAAGTTCTGGACAAAACTTGTCACCCGTGGAAAAGAAAACATCGCCATCAGGGGATGAAAGCAAACAGGAAATGAAAGGGACGGGTGAAAGTTCTGGACAAAACTTGTCACCATTGGAAAAGAAAACATCGCCATCAGGGGATGAAAGCAAACAGGAAATGAAAGGACCAGGTGAAAGTTCTGGACAAAACTTGTCATCAGTGGAAAAGAAAACATCGCCATCAGGGGATAAAAGCAAACAGGAAATGAAAGGGTCGGGTGAAAGTTCTGGAGAAAACTTGTCACCATTGGAAAAGAAAACATCGCCATCAGGGGATGAAAGCAAACAGGAAATGAAAGGACCAGGTGAAAGTTCTGGACAAAACTTGTCACCCGTGGAAAAGAAAACATCGCCATCAGGGGATGAAAGCAAACAGGAAATGAAAGGACCAGGTGAAAGTTCTGGACAAAACTCGTCATCAGTGGAACAGAAAACATCGCCATCAGGGGATGAAAGCAAACAGGAAATGAAAGGACCAGGTGAAAGTTCTGGACAAAACTCGTCATCAGTGGAACAGAAAACATCGCCATCAGGGGATGAAAGCAAACAGGAAATGAAAGGACCAGGTGAAAGTTCTGGACAAAACTCGTCATCAGTGGAAAAGAAAAGATCGCCATCAGGGGATGAAAGCAAACAGGAAGTGAAAGGACCAGGTGAAAGTTCTGGACAAAACTTGTCACCTGTGGAAAAGAAAATATCGCCATCAGGGGATAAAAGCAAACAGGAAATGAAAGGGCCAGGTGAAAATTCTGGACAATATATACCTGTCACCAGTAGAAAGGAGACATCACCATCAGGGGATGAGTGAGTGAGTGAGTTTTTTTACGCCGCTTTTAACAGTATTCCAGTAATATCAGCTTAATGTGGGAGGAAAGCCCGAAGTGATGCAGGTCTGAGACGTTTACCACTTCGGTGAAACCCACGAGCACGGGTATGGTGCTGACAAACCTAGGAACAAAAATAGGGCGAACCGGGATTCGAACCCCCAATCATAGGTTTCTGGCGTGCCCAAGAGACGCAACTCTGCACAGCGAATCGCGACGCCTTAGGCGACTGGGCCACCCGTACCCCCTCGGGACGTGAAGATGCATCTGTTAGGTCTAGGCTGATAAGCCAGTGTCCTTTCTTCAGCGTCGACCATAATTTCCGTATGGACTCCATCTTGATTTTTTGCGGGGGAACCAGATATCTCTTGTCTTTAGGCCTACAATCATCCTCATCTCATCTTCGGGACTAAGAAGACCGCAGATCAAAAACCCTTGGTGTTGTTGGTTTCTTTTAGTTCCCGAATGGCTCGCTTCTTTTTAGTAGTTTCCTTACGGCAAAATCTGCAGTCGCTAACGTGGCTCCGACCAGGTGAAATCTTCTGCCCACGGCATGTGTGTTCAGGATCGGGTGTTTCCTGAAGTGTAGCTTGTATCCGTGAGCCACGACTTCTAGAATCCAGGTCGGGCGTAACTTGCTTCCAATTTTCGGCTTATGACAGTAGACGCCCTCCCACTGTTCCAGGAGTCGGCATTATGTTGTAAGACAGTAGGCGTAAATCGCAGTCCATAGACATAACCAGGTCGAAAGGGTCTATATAACGTCGGAGGGGGTGGTAAGGAAGGCAGAACTTGCGTTCACCTCTGCCTCCCGGGCCCACTTGCACAAAGCGATCTTAGCGCTAAGATGATCGTAACTCCCATACTTTAGCATAGGCTTACAATAGTCTTAGCGCTAAGATAGCTTTGTGCAAGTGGGCCCCGATCTTCCACGGCGATTATATCCCCGTTTCTTGTAATCTGGTTGGCGACACGAATCCTGGGAAGACTGTCAATTGTCGTATAAATCCTTCCCGGACGGGACAAACTTCTTAGGAGGCTGTTTGGACGCTGATGTTTTATAATCCGAGGGACGCTTCTGACATTGGGATGATTCATGAGCTTTAGCAGCTAAGTCTATAGTTGAAGTTTGGAAACGTTCTGCTGTGTCTTGTTTAACTTCATCTATGACGTGTTTTAATTTCCCATAGAATGTTGTGGTCGCTGATATTGGTTGTGCCATAATAAACTTGGTTTGGTTTCACGCGGCTCTGGATCTGGGCTAAAAGTTGTTGACGTTGTAGCCTCAGAAGTTGTGTAGAAGTCCAGACTTGGGAGGAGAGTAAGTCTTCCTGCATCCTGACAATCAAGTCTGGGAGGCTATGGATGAGTCCGAATTGATCAGTCCTAATAGTAGTCATGGCGTAACTCCTTCATAGGATGGTTGTAAAGGTGGGATGATGTGTCGGATTCCGGCGAGAAACCAATTTATATAAGCTCCCATATCCATAGAGTATTTGGAGACCGATGTCAAATCGTTGAACCGCGATGCCGATAACGTAACATTCGTGTCGGGATTTCACACCAACGTGTAGAAGTCTTCATCCATTCTTGGGAATTCCGGAAGTTTAGCCTCATGCTTCCTATATAACTTCCGTTTCATAGGTGGTAAAGGTAGCCGTAAAAGGCGACTATGCTTGTCGTTAGAGGCGACTAACGGGATCGGGTGGACAGGCTGATGCATGTCATCGTATCCCAATTGCGTGGGTCGATGCGCATGATATCAATCACTGGATTGTCTGGTCCAGACTCGATTATTTACAAGCCAGAAACCCATGAAATCAGTGTCTAGCTGTGACGTAGCTAAGGCATTTTATAAGTTTTGGCAACTTTGGATATATAAATTTCGAAACAATTTTGCAAGGGCACTGGGCATAGCCAAGCCGGATCAGTAGCCATATCTGTGCTTGTAGACCTCTGCGGCAAAGGGCAGTTACTCTAGCGGACAGACCGATGGATTGCCGCGAAATTCAAGTAAAAAACAATTGTTGTTTTGCGTATATGTTGCTTCGCCACTATATAAGAAACAGATTTCAGTTGGAACTATATTGGCTACTGTCACTGTCAGACTGACACATCACTTACCCTGTAACGTAATAAATATTAATGCGCGCATTCCAGGAAAACTCGCAATGCCAAGGCTCGCTAAATACAATGTTTATTCCTAATGCAGAATATTTACCATCTCAAAACACACTCGCGTGATAACCTCTATGCATCGAGTACATTGTTTATACATACTGAAACAGGTTAGACAGATGGCACCTTATATTCCAAAGTCCTGATATTCTGAAGTTGAATTGAGGCCGAAGTAACCTCGACTGTGACAGTGACAAAACCAGTGACAACAAAACCGTTTATAGCTGCAATGAGGAGTTGCATTAAAGATACAATGTGACAGAAAACTTTTAGTTCGAAAGGAATTAATAGATAAAAGACATTTCACATTTATCACAAGCGTATTCTGGACATTTCATATTTATCATTGGATTGGTTCCAGGTTATCGTCCATTAGTTAAAATTAGTCACAAAATCAATAGAGAGATGGGCAATCTGGCACGTAGGCTTCTGTAGGCTTTTTCAGATTACGACACACATGAGTTCATGGTCAGATCTAACTTTTAACGAATCCAAATGAGGTATGGTGACATGTGACAAAGACAGGCCAGGCCCGAACACTATAAAATGATACTTTAACAATAGGAGAAGAGAGTGCGGTTTGCAATCGATCGAGTCAAATCTCGATCATTCTAAGTTTTCCCCATTTAGTGACGAGTCTGGCCGGTCTGATCCTATCCTGTATTAGTAGATGGGCTGAGAGTAAGTAAAACTATGTGAGTATAAAGCTAATGTTGCGTTTCTTTATTATGCGAGTATGAATGCTGATGGAGACAACTTGGAGTAAGCGTCTTTAGACCAATGATGACGATTCATTTATTCTTGCCCGTAATATCTCATATTGTAATGGCTTGGTTTCAACCGTTTCACGGACCAGTTATTTGTGAGTGTTATTAACGGTTGTCAGTAGGGTACAGTGAGAAGATCAGACTATAAAATGGTTACGAATTTGAAATATGTTATCATAATAGTTATCCCCCTTTTCCAGATACCGAATTACAAGGCGAAAGTATATTTCTACTTATTACATCTCATTATTGTGACAATATTGAATTAATTATTTTTCTGGAGAGACAAGACCTGTATTTGAAATTGGGTTCTCTCATATGATGGTCATATGATGGTCACTTGGTTACATTTCATTACATTATTCTACTATTGTGTATCTTCTATATTACTTTCTACGTTCAATTACTATCGGTGTTTCAATGTGTGCTCTCAGTCCATCCCTTTATTATATATGTTGGTTTTGGTGTTATTAACAACAAAGCATTTACTGAATGTTGTAAGTTAGAATTTTTAAAGTTTATCCGACTGTACTGTTGCAGCAGTCTATGGCTTTTTGCGATTTGTTCGTGCTTATTAATGTCTTTTTATTGTTATATTGGTCTACGCAAGTAATGAATGGTCCGGAAATTCGATTCCTGCCGTTATGATCCTTAAATGCCGATATGCATATGCCAGAAGACTATTATTGTTTATATAGTCTTATTTTTACAGACAGTAGTCTGAGCTGCAGATGTCACATCTTTATATGTATTAATTAGTCTATGGCTTTTTGCGATTTGTTCGTGCTTATTAATGTCTTTTAATTGTTATATTGGTCTACGCAAGTAATGAATTGTCCGGAAATTCGATTCCTGCCGTTATGATCCTTATATGCAGATATGCATATGCCAGAAGACTATTATTGTTTATATAGTCTTATTTTTACAGACAGTAGTCTGAAGATCAGACTATAAAATGGTTACGAATTTGAAATATGTTATCATAATAGTTATCCCCCTTTTCCAGATACCGAATTACAAGGAGAAAGTATATATTTCTACTTATTACATCTCATTATTGTGACAATATTGAATTAATTATTTTTCTGGAGAGACAAGACCTGTATTTGAAATTGGGTTCTCTCATATGATGGTCATATGATGGTCACTTGGTTACATTTCATTACATTATTCTACTATTGTGTATCTTCTATATTACTTTCTACGTTCAATTACTATCGGTGTTTCAATGTGTGCTCTCAGTCCATCCCTTTATTATATATGTTGGTTTTGGTGTTATTAACAACAAAGCATTTACTGAATGTTGTAAGTTAGAATTTTTAAAGTTTATCCGACTGTACTGTTGCAGCAGTCTATGGCTTTTTGCGATTTGTTCGTGCTTATTAATGTCTTTTTATTGTTATATTGGTCTACGCAAGTAATGAATGGTCCGGAAATTCGATTCCTGCCGTTATGATCCTTATATGCAGATATGCATATGCCAGAAGACTATTATTGTTTATATAGTCTTATTTTTACAGACAGTAGTCTGAGCTGCAGATGTCACATCTTTATATGTATTAATTAGTCTATGGCTTTTTGCGATTTGTTCGTGCTTATTAATGTCTTTTTATTGTTATATTGGTCTACGCAAGTAATGAATTGTCCGGAAATTCGATTCCTGCCGTTATGATCCTTATATGCAGATATGCATATGCCAGAAGACTATTATTGTTTATATAGTCTTATTTTTACAGACAGTAGTCTGAAGATCAGACTATAAAATGGTTACGAATTTGAAATATGTTATCATAATAGTTATCCCCCTTTTCCAGATACCGAATTACAAGGAGAAAGTATATATTTCTACTTATTACATCTCATTATTGTGACAATATTGAATTAATTATTTTTCTGGAGAGACAAGACCTGTATTTGAAATTGGGTTCTCTCATATGATGGTCATATGATGGTCACTTGGTTACATTTCATTACATTATTCTACTATTGTGTATCTTCTATATTACTTTCTACGTTCAATTACTATCGGTGTTTCAATGCGTGCCCTCAGTCAATCCCTTTATTATATATGTTGGTTTTGGTGTTATTAACAACAAAGCATTTACTGAATGTTGTAAGTTTGAATTTTTAAAGTTTATCCGACTGTACTGTTGCAGCAGTCTATGGCTTTTTGCGATTTGTTCGTGCTTATTAATGTCTTTTTATTGTTATATTGGTCTACGCAAGTAATGAATGGTCCGGAAATTCGATTCCTGCCGTTATGATCCTTATATGCAGATATGCATATGCCAGAAGACTATTATTGTTTATATAGTCTTATTTTTACAGACAGTAGTCTGAGCTGCAGATGTCACATCTTTATATGTATTAATTAGTCTATGGCTTTTTGCGATTTGTTCGTGCTTATTAATGTCTTTTTATTGTTATATTGGTCTACGCAAGTAATGAATGGTCCGGAAATTCGATTCCTGCCGTTATGATCCTTATATGCAGATATGCATATGCCAGAAGACTATTATTGTTTATATAGTCTTATTTTTACAGACAGTAGTCTGAAGATCAGACTATAAAATGGTTACGAATTTGAAATATGTTATCATAATAGTTATCCCCCTTTTCCAGATACCGAATTACAAGGAGAAAGTATATTTCTACTTATTACATCTCATTATTGTGACAATATTGAATTAATTATTTTTCTGGAGAGACAAGACCTGTATTTGAAATTGGGTTCTCTCATATGATGGTCATATGATGGTCACTTGGTTACATTTCATTACATTATTCTACTATTGTGTATCTTCTATATTACTTTCTACGTTCAATTACTATCGGTGTTTCAATGCGTGCTCTCAGTCCATCCCTTTATTATATATGTTGGTTTTGGTGTTATTAACAACAAAGCATTTACTGAATGTTGTAAGTTAGAATTTTTAAAGTTTATCCGACTGTACTGTTGCAGCAGTCTATGGCTTTTTGCGATTTGTTCGTGCTTATTAATGTCTTTTTATTGTTATATTGGTCTACGCAAGTAATGAATGGTCCGGAAATTCGATTCCTGCCGTTATGATCCTTATATGCAGATAAGCATATGCCAGAAGACTATTATTGTGTATATAGTCTTATTTTTACAGACAGTAGTCTGAGCTGCAGATGTCACATCAATATATGTATTAATATTTCTATAGTTGGTATGGTACTATTCACTTGTTGATCGTGAATTACCAGTACCTTTAAGTGTTGTAGATGATGGCCGTACCCCATTCTATAGGGCGGAGAGTCAAGCACTTCCCCCGCTGTCGTCTGGTCCACGCCAAATTGTTAATCTGGCTTCTGGCTACACGCTTGCTGTCGATGGTGTACGCTGTCCTATAACCTCTGCCGATGAACACAGACCGCAAGCCACAGAGGGTTATCCATATGTGTCAGCTACCCCGACGTCTACATCTACAGGTGCTCATGACCCCCGCATACACGCTGTGACTCTATCGGCATACAACATCTTTAGACAGCAACCAGTCAACACTCAAGCAGTGTCAAGAAAAGTCGACCTCTCGCTTTGCCACCCCAGCCAAGGACCAGACTGTGTGCATAGGCCGTGTGTTTTCAAGGATTCAAGAACGTTGGACAGCGTTCAGCCAATTGACTTTTCGAAACAAAAAGGAGCCAGTGAATTCGATTGGGACCAGCCACAAATACACTTTCGTGAATGGTGGTGCCATATTGTGGCCATGTGCAGTGACATTTGACATTTATGCATCGCTATTAATTAATTCTACATTGTATTTGAATAATATTTCGTGGTGATTCTGCTTTGTGGTTATACGAGGTAACATAGGATCATTTCTCTTATTCTTTACCATGTAAATACATTTTGACTGTTAGAGAATTCGCTGTTTTCCGGATCTTTACAAAAACAATGAAACTGGTTACAATTTGATATGGAATGATCGATCCTGTTTTACTTCTATTGTGTTTAGTGTGATTGTATTTTACATCTCAGACCTGAACTCGTGGTTATGTCTTCCGAGCTGTGGGCAGCTCTTGTCCACAGACGGAGGATGTTATAAGGTTAAAATGCGTCTCAAAAACATAAGAAACTGGTTACAAATAAAACCGTTTATAGCTGCAATGAGGAGTTGCATTAGAGATACAATGTGACAGAGAACTTTTAGTTCGAAAGGAATTAATAGATATAAGACATTTCACATTTATCACAAGCGTATTCTGGACATTTCATATTTATCATTGGATTGGTTCCAGGTTATCGTCCATGAGTTAATGAAACAAGCAGAGAGATTCAAGATATATTTCATTTGGAGCATCCGGAGCGAGTCACAAAATCAATTGAGAGATGAGCAATCTGGCACGTAGGCTTCTGTATTTTTCAGATTACGACACACATGAGTTCATGGTCAGATCTAACCTTTGACGAATCCAAATGAGGTATGGTGACATGTGACAAAGACAGGCCAGGCCCGAACACTATAAAATGATACTTTAACAATAGGAGAAGAGAGTGCGGTTTGCAATCGATCGAGTCAAATCTCGATCATTCTAAGTTTTCCCCATTTAGTGACGAGTCTGGCCGATCTGATCCTATCCTGTATTGGTAGATGGGCTGAGAGTAAGTAAAACTATGTGAGTATAAAGCTGGTGTTGCGTTTCTTTATTATGCGAGTATGATTGGTTTGGTTTTGGTTGGTTTGTTGTTTAACGCCGCACTCAGCAATATTCCAGCTAAATGACGGCGGTCTGTAAATAATCGAGTCAGGACCAGACAATCCAGTGATTGTTTTATGCATACATGTAGCCAGCTTAGCACACCTCACCACTTACAACTCAAATTTGATAATAAAGGCGAGCTTCTGTGCATCTGACAATAAGGCATAATCGCGTACCTTAAAATGTTGCTGTGATGTATAAAACGGAACTTATTGTTTTTCTTTGATGCCAGTTTCCAACTATTAATAGGAACTGTGCACTTTTATACAACCTTTGTGTTCCCGTGGGCCCAGATTACTGCTGGAGAGCGAACTTGCCTACAGCACAGCGTATAAAGGTCTACAGATTAGTACACGCTGCATGTACCTACATGTGGAGGCGGCAGACAGTGTGGACATATCGGAGTGTACACGTATTGTTCAATATTTAGGTCAGTACATTCCCAAATCTATTTATAGAACATAACGCGATGAACTGCGCCTTGCTCTCCGAGAGAGAAGCGTTCCATTTTCAGATTTGGAGTTGACTTGAGGTGGTCAGGATTGGTACTGTGTCTGTGGACTGTTTCGTCACTAATCATCTCCTTAGATTTGCATGTAAACGTAAGTATTGAGTACATTATGTATACATACTGAAACAAGTTGGAGCGACGACGTCCATTAGACAAGGAAGTAATGTAAGGGAAGATGGTTATATGTCCGATCAGGGTGTGTGTGTGTGTGTGTGTGTGTGAGTGAGAGATGTAAAAATTGTCGCAAAAGACAGGCGTGTGTGTGTGTGTGGGTGTGTGTGTGTGTGTGTGAGAGAGAGAGAGAGAGAGAGAGAGAGAGAGAGAGAGAGAGAGAGAGAGAGAGTAAAAAATGCAAAATCCATGTACCAAAACTAACATAGATTTAAACCTCTTCATTTGGTGTCATCATTGGTCCAGTGGTCTTGTGGGAGCTAAGGTTTACACACCAAAGACTTCATTTGAGAGAAATCAAGGCCACAAGCAAAGTGAAAGGTTAAATCAAGGAAAATATTACCTGCATCACTTTAGACTTTCCTCCCATAATAGGCTCACCTTGGCGATATAAATGGAACACAGCATTAAACCCAACGTACTCACACACTCATTTCAGTTTGGACAGGAATGGATGAGAAATTGCAACAAAAAGTTTTCAAAATGGCTGCTGTCGTCTTTGGACAATTTGTGTAGAACCGGGTTGGTTGGTTGGTTGGTTTGTTGTTTTACGCCGCACTCAGCAATATTCCAGCTATATGACGGCGGTCTGTAAATACGGTCTCTAATCGAATCTGGACCAGACAATCCAGTGATTGACATCATGAGTATCGATCCACGCAGTTGGGATCGATGACATGCATCAACCAAGTCAGCGAGCCTGACCACCCGATACCTTTAGTTGCCTCTTACGACAAGCATGGGTTGCTGAAGACCTATTTTAGAATCGGGAGGGAAAGAGATTGGTTCCAAGGAACAGTTTCATGTTCATCGATGTAGTGGTTTCGGAGAAGACGTTGACGACGGATGCCGGACTAACATGCCATGTATTAACGTAAAATGTATAAGGAAAGCCTTAAGTGTTAAGGGTCATAGTTAAAACATTGGTGAAAAAGCACAAGCCCTCAGCTAAAGTGCTTTCAAGGATCATTATCAGGGCATATCTTTGATTCGTACCTATGTTTTGATTGTTTGTTGTTTAACGCGCACTAAGCAACATTCCAGCTATATATGACGGCGGTCTGTAAATAATCAAGTCTGGACCAGACAATCCAGTGATTGACATAATGAGCATCGATCTACGCATGCATCAACCAAGTCAGCGAGCCTGACCATCCGATCCTACATCGATCTCCACCATGGGACATTATACTTGCTCTAGAAATACTTGTCACCGATATTTAAGGTCAAATTCACACTCTATGTATGTGATAACCGTTATGTTTCATTTTACGCCCTATGCAATCTGTTTGGTCGGATAATTAAGACTGGTTATTGTGAGCAACGATCCACTCGTTTGGCGTTTGATGACACATAATCTCCAAGCCTTTAAAAGTTTTTGAATATTTTACCATAGCAACGACTTATAAATAAAGCAATAAATATCTATAAAACTTCAGTTTCAGCGACTGTAAAGTGATCAAATCAGCCTACCCAATTTCCAGCCATGGCGGGAGCCCCTGCTGAGTACCTGATTCTTGATATCAATGCTAATGGAGACTCCGGGAAAGGGATGAGAGAAAAGAGAAAGCAGTACATTGCACATGTGCTGACAACACAGGTTCCTTTGGTGGTTTGCGTACAAGAGTTCCTATGGAAGGGTATTCACTCAAGGGGATGGGCAGACTTGGATGTTCCAGACCATTTTCAGTATGCAGGTCACAATGAAGCAGGTTTCATATTTGATACGAGGGAAGTCACTTACTCACGGATTGACAACAAAGCATCTGTGAGAAACATGTATGATAACATGGTGAAGAGAAGTGACATCGGCTTGGATTACTTCGAACTGCCAAGACTTTGCGTCCATAAAATCAAAAGCAAAGGGGCTCCTAATTTTGAGATCTTATGTGCCAGTTGGCATGGTCCTCATAGGGTGCCAAATGAGAAGAAAGAAAAGTCCCTTGACTCGCTGGTCAAGTTTCTTCTGAAGCTGAAGGTAGAGGAGGAGAATGTTCCTTTGTTGCTTGGGGGTGACTTCAACTTCCCTGCAGCTAAAGTAAAAAGCAGACTCCCATCTGACGGTAGTCTAATGCTTAACACACCAGATGACTCGTCAATAGACATGTTCATCACAAGCTCCGATATTGGGAATATGTTTACCATTTCAAAAGTTCACACCATGAAACGAAATTCAGCATTTGACCATTTGCATTTGGAGATGCATTTGACAACGATAAATGCCACTGACTCTGAAGAACAAATTAGGACAAAGGATTTGTCAACAGGGGACAAAGGGTTACGTGAAAGTCCTGGACAAAAGTTGTCAGCAGTGAAAAATAAAATATCCTCACTAAAGGATAAATCCAAAACGAAAATTGAAGACAAGAAGGAATGAAAGTGGCAAACGTCAGGTCATCAAAAGAGGGTGAATTTACAAGCAGGTGACATTCTTTCCATTGTATTAATCAAGTCTGTACCTGACAATCCAGTGATTGATAATATATCCTGTCAGTCGACTCTTTTGGCAAGCATAAGTTGCTGTGGACCAATCTGACCCATAATCCCCATATGGTTTGTATGGACTCAAATGTACCGTAATTGGGAACATTTCCCATCCTAGTAGTCCAGAAAACATCTTTCAAGCCAAACGTTAATTTAAAACAGTATTCTGATTAAATAATATATATATCGAGGACTCGACCATATGAGGCCATTATCTTTTAAGGATGATCTATGCTGAACTCTCGTTCTGAAGAGTAGTTTTTTGGTTGTTAAATTAAAGCCCATGAAAAAGTGAAAACCTGTGCTAATTAGGTGATAAGAGAAGATGGGGATGGTAATGCCCGAAACGAATCTGTAGTGGTGAATGGATTCAGAGAATTTTAGCATAAGAGATAGCATGGAGGCACAATACAATGGACAATCAAAGACTTGAGTAACCCTGGTATTCGAACTGGAATCGCTGTCAAACGACGAAGTAAGAGGTTGACACTGGACCCATCAAGGCAGCAGGTAATGCCTGCAAGGGGTGGTGATCACTGAGAATGCCTGCAAGAACAGACTGTCACTGATGTTGTCTCATTTCAATTAATAACAATAAGGCAGCTGCTGAAAGATGTAGAAACACATTTTGCCGCACCAAACATTCGTGTTTGACCAAGTGATTGCTGTCATCTTAAAACAACTTCATGTATATTAGGAAAAGATACAATTTATCTTTTATATGCATTTATATGATTTTTAAGTGCTGATGTCTGTGGATTTGAGGCTGCCATTTTATATGTATATTTTGTGTGTGTGCACATATAAGTATGAGTTTGGAAGGCCATACAAAATAGATCATCTGCTCCTGGAGCATATTTTGTTTTTTAGATGATCAGGCACTTTATTTTGTTCATTTAAAGTTCAAACCAGCAAGGTATTTTCTTTTTATACCTTGAAGCTTATCATACAGTTTAATCCTAATACACAAAATTTGAAATGTATATTTGCAGATAAACATGTGACCATGTATATTTTTTTGTTTAAGCTGTCATATAGCTGGAATATCCCAAGGATCATTTAATCATGTCATTTTCTATAAGGGAGTCAATTTGAATATTGGATCCTCTGATAAATAAATATCAAATGGTGTTATGTGATGGTCTACTATTGCTCTACAAGAATGATAAGTAGTAGTGTATATTTATTTTGATGTTGATAAGGTATTGGAATGATTGATCTAATATAATAACATGATAATCAGTCAGTAATTCAATTTGAACTACGTAAAAGTAGGCTAAACGCATGCATATCATCTCACATTACATCAAGACTAGCGGTTGTGGGAAGATCATATTTTCACCCTGGATATCCAGTCTAGGTCTGTTGTTGCTGGAATATTGCTGAAAGCAGCGTTAAATCAAACTCACTCACTCACTGTTTGGGACCATTGACCACTGTTGCTGCTAGGTGAATATTATTATCACTGACTGTTTGCTGTCACCACTGCAGGATCGGGTGGTCAGGCTCGCTGACTTGGTTGATGCATGTCATCGATCCCAATTGCGTGGATCGATGCTCATGATAATAATCACTGGATTGTCTGGTCCAGACTCGATTATTTACAGACCGCCATCATATAGCTGGAATATTGCTGAGTGTGGCGTTAAACAACCAACCAACCATCCTTACTGCTATTCTTCTTTATACTGCCATCGAATTTTGTACTGTCACGCTGTTGTGTATTTACTTTGCAGTAATATATATTGATTTGTAAAACTATAATACAATTGTTAATTTACACCATTTCTTAGTTGTTTGTTGGTTTCACTCCAAGTTCTTTAACATGTAGATTTCAGAGTTAACTTATTGTTTCAATTTGGAAGTAAACCTACTTCTACATCCATGTCATAAGACAAATGACCCGTGAAGATTCCAGGTTGACTATGCTTGTCGTAAAAGGCAACTAATGGGATTGGGTGGTCAGGCTCGCTGACTTGGTTGATACAAGTCATCGATCCCTAATGCGTGGATCAATGCTCATGATGTCAATCACTGGATTGTCTGGTCCAGACTTGATAATTTACAGACCGCCGTCATATAGCTGTAATATTGCTGAGTGCAGCATTAAACAAACCAAACAACCAACCAACCAACCATTGCCAAAGAACATTCTATCTGTATCATGAGCATGTGTTTATGAATTACTGTTAAATAGAAATGATACCAGGTGTATCTGCAAAAAGGTGAGTGTATCCTGCCCCACCATTGGCACCCATCACAAACACATGCTAAGGCAAGTCAATTGTTCAACTGAAGAAACATGGGCACATGCAGTACAAGTCAAAATATCAAATTGCATAGGACATCATTTTTGTCATTGAGGCATCAAATACGGAAATGTCCTCCACATATAACACTAGCTTCATGAGGTGACAAAAGAGTTTTAGTGGTGAGTTAGTTGAAGTATCACTCACAGCTTGGTTGTGGTTCATGCTACCCTGACGGCATGGGACATTGCTAGAAGTATCACTCACAGGTTGGTTGTGGTTCATCCTACCCTGACAGCATGGTACGTTGCTGTAAGTATCACTCACAGGTTGGTTGTGGTTCATGCTACCCTGACGGCATGGGACATTGCTAGAAGTATCACTCACAGGTTGGTTGTGGTTCATCCTACCCTGACAGCATGGTACCTTGCTAGAAGTATCACTCACAGGTTGGTTGTGGTTCATCCTACCCTGACGGCATGGGACATTGCTAGAAGTATCACTCACAGGTTGGTTGTGGTTCATGCTACCCTGACAGCATGGTACGTTGCTGGAAGTATTACTCACAGGTTGGTTGTGGTTCATGCTACCCTGACGGCATGGGACGTTGCTTGAAGTATCACTCACAGGTTGGTTGTGGTTCATGCTACCCTGACGGCATGGTACGTTGCTGGAAGTATCACTCACAGGTTGGTTGTGGTTCATCCTACCCCGACGGCATGGACGTTGCTAGAAGTATCACTCACAGGTTGGTTGTGGTTCATCCTACCCTGACGGCATGGGACGTTGCTAGAATTAACTCACAGGTTGGTTGTGGTTCATCCTACCCCGACAGCATGGGACGTTGCTAGAAGTATCACTCACAGGTTGGTTGTGGTTCATGCTACCCTGACAGCATGGGACGTTGCTAGAAGTATCACTCACAGGTTGGTTGTGGTTCATCCTACCCCGACAGCATGGGACGTTGCTTTAAGTATCACTCACAGGTTGGTTGTGGTGCATCCTACCCTGATGGCATGGGACGTTGCTAGAAGTATCACTCACAGGTTGGTTGTGGATCATGCTACCCCGACAGCATGAGATGTTGCTAGAAGTATCACTCACAGGTTGGTTGTGGTTCATCCTACCCCGACAGCATGGGACATTGCTAGAAGTATCACTCACAGGTTGGTTGTGGTTCAAGCTACCCCAACAGCATGGGACGTTGCTTGAAGTATCACTCACAGGTTGGTTGTGGTTCATCCTACCCTGACGGCATGGGACGTTGCTAGAAGTATCACTCACAGGTTGGTTGTGGTTCATGCTACCCTGACAGCATGGTACGTTGCTGGAAGTATCACTCACAGGTTGGTTGTGGTTCATCCTACCCTGACGGCATGGGACGTTGCTAGAAGTATCACTCACAGGTTGGTTGTGGTTCATGCTACCCCAACAGCATGGGACGTTGCTAGAAGTATCACTCACAGGTTGGTTGTGGTTCATCCTACCCAGACAGCATGGGACGTTGCTTTAAGTATCACTCACAGGTTGGTTGTGGTGCATCCTACCCTGATGGCATGGGACGTTGCTAGAAGTATCACTCACAGGTTGGTTGTGGATCATGCTACCCCGACAGCATGAGATGTTGCTAGAAGTATCACTCACAGGTTGGTTGTGGTTCATCCTACCCCGACAGCATGGGACATTGCTAGAAGTATCACTCACAGGTTGGTTGTGGTTCAAGCTACCCCAACAGCATGGGACGTTGCTTGAAGTATCACTCACAGGTTGGTTGTGGTTCATCCTACCCTGACGGCATGGGACGTTGCTAGAAGTATCACTCACAGGTTGGTTGTGGTTCATGCTACCCTGACAGCATGGGACATTGCTGGAAGTATCACTCACAGGTTGGTTGTGGTTCATCCTACCCTGACGGCATGGGACGTTGCTAGAAGTATCACTCACAGGTTGGTTGTGGTTCATGCTACCCTGACAGCATGGGACATTGCTGGAAGTATCACTCACAGGTTGGTTGTGGTTCATCCTACCCCGACGACATGGGACGTTGCTAGAAGTATCACTCACAAGTTGGTTGTGGTTCATGCTACCCAGACAGCATGGTACGTTGCTGGAAGTATCACTCACAGGTTGGTTGTGGTTCATCCTACCCTGACGGCATGGGACGTTGCTAGAAGTATCACTCACAGGTTGGTTGTGGTTCATGCTACCCTGACAGCATGGGACATTGCTGGAAGTATCACTCACAGGTTGGTTGTGGTTCATCCTACCCCGACGACATGGGACGTTGCTAGAAGTATCACTCACAGGTTGGTTGTGGTTCATCCTACCCCGACGGCATGGGACGTTGCTGGAAGTATCACTCACAGGTTGGTTGTGGTTCATGCTACCCCGACGGCATGGGACGTTGCTGGAAGTATCACTCACAGGTTGGTTGTGGTTCATGCTACCCCGACGGCATGGGACGTTGCTGGAAGTATCACTCACAGGTTGGTTGTGGTTCATCCTACCCCGACAGCATGGGACGTTGCTAGAAGTATCACTCACAGGTTGGTTGTGGTTCATCCTACCCTGACGGCATGGGACGTTGCAAGAAGTATCACTCACAGGTTGGTTGTGGTTCATCCTACCCTGATGGCATGGAACGTTGCTAGAAGTATCACTCACAGGTTGGTTGTGGTTCATCCTACCCCGACGACATGGGATGTTGCTAGAAGTATCACTCACAGGTTGGTTGTGGTTCATCCTACGCTGACGGCATGGGACGTTGCTAGAAGTATCACTCACAGGTTGGTTGTGGTTCATGCTACCCTGACGGCATGGGACATTGCTAGAAGTATCACTCACAGGTTGGTTGTGGTTCATCCTACCCCGACGACATGGGACGTTGCTAGAAGTGTCACTCACAGGTTGGTTGTGGTTCATGCTACCCTGACAGCATGGAACGTTGCTGGAAGTATCACTCACAGGTTGGTTGTGGTTCATCCTACCCTGACGGCATGGGACGTTGCTAGAAGTATCACTCACAGGTTGGTTGTGGTTCATCCTACCCCGACGGCATGGTACGTTGCTAGAAGTAACACTCACAGGTTGGTTGTGGTTCGTCCTACCCTGACGGCATGGGACGTTGCTAGAAGTAACACTCACAGGTTGGTTGTGGTTCATCCTACCCTGACGGCATGGTACGTTGCTAGAAGTATCACTCACAGGTTGGTTGTGGTTCATCCTACCCTGACGGCATGGTACGTTGCTAGAAGTAACACTCACAGGTTGGTTGTGGTTCATCCTACCTTGACGGCATGGTACGTTGCTAGAAGTAACACTCACAGGTTCGTTGTGGTTCATCCTACCCTGACGGCATGGTACGTTGCTAGAAGTAACACTCACAGGTTGGTTGTGGTTCATCCTACCCTGACGGCATGGTACGTTGCTGGAAGTATCACTCACAGGTTGGTTGTGGTTCATCCTACCCTGACGGCATGGGACGTTGCTGGAAGTAACACTCACAGGTTGGTTGTGGTTCATCCTACCCTGACGGCATGGTACGTTGCTGGAAGTATCACTCACAGGTTGGTTGTGGTTCATGCTACCCTGACGGCATGGTACGTTGCTAGAAGTATCACTCACAGGTTGGTTGTGGTTCATCCTACCCTGACGGCATGGTACGTTGCTAGAAGTATCACTCACAGGTTGGTTGTGGTTCATCCTACCCTGACGGCATGGTACGTTGCTGGAAGTATCACTCACAGGTTGGTTGTGGTTCATCCTACCCTGACGGCATGGTACGTTGCTGGAAGTATCACTCACAGGTTGGTTGTGGTTCATCCTACCCTGACGGCATGGTACGTTGCTGGAAGTATCACTCACAGGTTAGTTGTGGTTCATCCTACCCTGACGGCATGGGACGTTGCTAGAAGTATCACTCACAGGTTGGTTGTGGTTAATGCTACCCTGACAGCATGGTACGTTGCTGGAAGTATCACTCACAGGTTGGTTGTGGTTCATCCTACCCTGACGGCATGGTACGTTGCTGGAAGTATCACTCACAGGTTAGTTGTGGTTCATCCTACCCTGACGGCATGGGACGTTGCTAGAAGTATCACTCACAGGTTGGTTGTGGTTCATCCTACCCTGACGGCATGGGACGTTGCTGGAAGTATCACTCACAGGTTGGTTGTGGTTCATCCTACCCTGACGGCATGGTACGTTGCTAGAAGTAACACTCACAGGTTGGTTGTGGTTCATCCTACCCTGACGGCATGGGACTTTGCTGGAAGTATTACACAGGCATTGTCTGGTCCAGGCTTGTTATTTTTACAGGCTATCATAATATTACTGGAACATTGCTGACTCGGCAGTGGACAAGAAACAAAGAAAGTATTGAAACAGCATATGGTAACTTCCACACAGTTTGCTTCACAGCCACATTTATTGTTCCATATTTGACAATGTTTGACATTGAATATGTTTGACAGTGGTTCTATGGGCTAGTGAATGGTGACAACATTGTACAGCCTATGACAAAAGTACCTGAAGAGACTGCACACTACAGACTGTAGCACAAATAACTCACTTCATGACAGGACTTGAGTATCAACCAGCATATCAGGGTAGCCCATGTGATGCCCTGATATAACTCACTGGTAACGCAATACCATACACATTCTTTGAATGGTAACATAATGTATACAATGTTCATTATATTCTTTGAAAACTACAGAAATTGTGAATATTGTAATGAAAAAAACTAGCATTGTTTACAGACAATTTGAAAGTGAAGATTTCAAAAAAGTTATTTTTTTGGAATTTAGTGTTTCAGTCAGTGAGTGAGAATGGTTTTACACCGCTTTCAGCAATAATCCAGCAAAATCACGGCAGGGGACAGCAAGAATGGGCTTCACACATTGTACCCATGTCGGGAATCGAATCCGGGTCTTCAGCGTGACAAGCGAACGCTTTAACCACTAGGCTACCCGACTGCCCCTTTTAGTGTTTTAAAATCAACATGTTCATCAACATGTAACTATTGATATACAAATTAGATTTACAATTACTCATCATTAACATAAAGTATTATCATCAGAAACTTTTTCTGGTAGTGACTTCCTACATCTACTGTAAATCATGTCAACTAGGGTAACTGACATACCTTGATAACAGCAAAGTAACTCCCTTTCCGGATGAAGAAAAGCACAGGGCATTACAGAGGCCTACCACGCTGGGTACAAAAGTCTCATCAGAGAGAAACCAATTTCACTTTTTTGACCAACGTTTCAAGCTGCTGTTCAAGCACCTCTAAACACAGCCAGTTAACATTATGAAAATTCATACCTTTATATATATATATATATATATATATATATATATATATATATATATATATATATATATATATATATTTCTTAAATTACCTCTTTTCTAAACACCCTCCAGACATTTATTCCATCTCTGATACATGTATATGGTTAAGATTGTGCCGTTGACACAACACTGGCTTTTTTTACCAACGTTTCAAGCTGCTGTTCAAGCACCTCTAAACACAGCCAGTTAACATTATGAAAATTCATACCTATATATATATATATATATATATATATATATATATATATTTCTTAAATTACCTCTTTTCTAAACACCCTCCAGACATTTATTCCATCTCTGATACATGTATATGGTTAAGATTGTGCCGTTGACACAACACTGGCTTTTTTTACCAACGTTTCAAGCTGCTGTTCAAGCACCTCTAAACACAGCCAGTTAACATTATGAAAATTCATACCTATATATATATATATATATATATATTTCTTAAATTCCCTCTTTTCTAAACACCCTCCAGACATTTATTCCGTCTCTGATACATGTGTATGGTTAAGATTGTGCCGTTGACACAACACTGGCTGCATGGAACAGCACAGAAGGACTTCTTAAGGCTTTGAGTGCCTAATAACTGAACTATGTTATATAGTTCCATATTATTGAGCAACTGAAATACTTGACATCTATATTATGTTCCGCTATTAAACTGAAACAGGTTAAAATGTTACAGCTGAGGCTCTTCAAAATTAAGGAATAGGTTCTCAGGCAATGGCTTTTGATAATATTGTGCAGGCAGGTGATGGTTCTTTTCTTTCTTTGGTTGTTCAACTAGTATGTAACCAAATAAACAGTCGTGTAGAATCAATCTGGAAAGGGCCTACTTAAATGTATTCCTTGATGAGTAAGGTACCTGAATACAGTAATTGACCTTTTTTGTTTTAAAAAAAAAGGAAATAAAAACGAAACATTTGGCGAACTTTATGATGATGGGGGCAGTGCCTGAGAACCTAGACTATTGTTTTTTAAGCCTGATGTGACTGGAAGCTATGTTCTACTGGTTAACCGCCGACACAGTCAATACAATTGTTTTACTTCCTGTGGACCATACAAGTGAGTGAGTGAGTGAGGATGGTTTTACGCCGCTTTTAGCAATATTCCAGCAATATCACGGCGGGGGATACCAGAAATGGGCTTCACACATTGTACCCATGTCGGGAATCGAACCTGGGTCTTTGGCGTGACGAACAAACGCTTTAACCACTAGGCTACCCGACCGCCCCTGGACCATACAATGTTGTGAGGAGTGTCCTGGGATCCTTGATGTTTGCTCCTATAGTATTTGAATCTGGAGAGACCCAAACTCTTTACTTTTTATCCTAAAAAAGACCCCTTGACTTTCATGCTGAATTTCCAACACTGAAGTAGTTGTGTGACAGTTTGTACAAGAGTTGAAGCAACAACTTGTCAACAATACACAACTAAGTATACTTACAGTTTGATAAATGAACATATGTGCACATTTGCTACTTAAAATTTGAATTGATATATATAATCAAAATAAATATAACTTATGAACATCTAAAAATATTATTGTAATATTTCTATAGTACAAAGTTGTGCTTGATGTACATAAGTTAAGGATCTATCTACAATATATCAAATGGCTGTAAACTCCATAGACTTCATACAAGTTAGACTTCTAGATTATATACTTCATTTTGAATACAATTATTACACACACAAAAGCCCCATTGTGAAAGCTCCTTTTGCATTTAAGTGAGTGAGTGAGTATGGTTTTACGCCGCTTTTAGCAATATTACAGAAATGGGCTTCACACATTGTTTTGCATTTAAGTAAAATGACAGAATTTCAACAAAATGACAACAATATGAGTTATCAATCCCTTAACAGTCCAGGTGACCCTGGGATTCCTTGGAATCTTTACGTAGGAGTGATTGAGTGAGTTGGTTTAATGCCACTTTGGGTGGTATTTCTGTACATCTTGGCCTGCATGTAAGCTTAATGTAGGAAAGTCTAAAGTAATGCATGTCATGCAACCTAGTAGCACAGGTGCAAGGTTCAGAATCAAGATGAATCTGGGAGTGGAATCACAATCAGCAGATCCTTGCAAGGCTAAGGGACACAACCCATAGCCTTAGATGACTGCACTGCCTCTGCCCCTCCCAAATACTCAAATAGCTAATATTTAACTCTACATATGTGCATGGTGAAACCCATGAGCATAGTGCTGACATACCAAGGATCATACTTGGAGTGATCTTGGTTTAGATCCATGACCAGAGGATCCTGGCATGGCTAAGGGTGGTAACTCTTCTCAGCGAACTAGTTACTTGAACAAAGGCTTGATACACCTACTCCTATACCTACAAACATAAACACTACAACAAGATATTAATGTACAATTACAGAAATATATGAAACACACTTTAATTTAAACTTCATCAGAATTCTACAAATATATTTATTTAATATTACTCAGTTTCATTTCATTCAATGGATATTGTATCATTGATTTTTATGGATCAGCACACTGAAAAGCTGATCGTCAATACTTCATGGGCTTGTATTCACTACATTCCAAAGAAAGAATTGTGTGTTAGTCCATGAAGAAATGATGATATAAGAGCCCTAATCATAGATAAGCTATCAGTTAATGCGATACTGTGTTTGTGTTCAAAATATTTAGAACATTTACATTGCCACCAAAGTCGGAATTTTTACGGTAATTGAAAATATGGCAAACGAAATCACAAACCACGGGTTGATGTTTCTTTGGGTTTCCCTATCTCCATGTTGTTACTGAGGTTGTGCATGAAGTTTTATGCCGTTATGAATTCTGCAGCCTAAGCATGGACTTCACATACTGGACCAATGAAATGGGAGATTGAACCCAGGGTGTCTGTGTCCTTGAAGAACACACTCACCAGAGAACGACCCCATCAGCCTGATTGTGCAAGCTGATCTTGTCTGCAGGTTGTGGCAAGTCATTTCACAGGTGGAACAATATTGTGAAACAATGCAAGGTATACAGGGTTACAGGGAGCAGGAGCAGGAAGTATGTAGTGGTATTCTTATACTGATATGCAAGTGGAATTAACTCCTAAATAGATCATACATTTAATGCTTTATCTTTATTCTGATTTCTCTACAATTAATACAAAATGAAATAATTTATGGGCTAATCAGGACAATGTTTTAGACAATACAAATTGATATAGGTCCAAGTCCTGTTACCTATTTTTTTATATAGCCTGGTGACTGGATGTGTTCAGGAATGGAGAGTATCACTGACCAGGTCCCCGGGTAGTTATAAGCAGTTATAGGCAATAGACTGCAGAAGATGTGTGTGATGGCTGTTATGTTTATTTTCAAGCTCCAGCATATTTTCAGAATGGTAATTAATCGATTTGTAGATATCCAGAGAAATCAACTCCTATAAGTAACCAATCTCATTAAAATCAGATCTACCGCTAAACAAAGATCTGAGGACATCCCATTAGGGGTCACGTCAGAACGACCTTTCATCTGACCAATCAGAGCGTCGCTTACCAGATCATGAAAGTGACAGTCGGAATGTGATTTCTCATCATGCAGCCTCGTAAACTTTAACACGGGGTATTCCGAACGATAGTTACGGGCTTTACGACTGAATCCATACAAGCTAGACCTTCTATTAGCCATCCCAGAATGTTCTTTTGTTCAGGTTTCAATTTTTTAATCAACAATTTGTCAAAATATGTTTCGAAGCATAGTTGCCAATTAGACATTAGTGCCGTAAAGCACGAGAAAGCTGCTTTACGATTGGCTAATGTCGACTTCCTGTCAGTCATTCCATTCGTTGGTCAAAGTTCCCGCAAGGTCAGTCTGACGTGACACTTAATAGTGTGTCCAAAGATCTTTGTTGAGTGGTAGCGAGAACTAAAATCTGATTTTATTGAGATTGATAAGTAACCAATGTTCAGAACACAACATTAAGATATACATGGATACATAAAAACAGCACAGATTGGACAGATAAGAAATGGACTAGTTTTTTCAACCCTCATTTAACATATATAATCTATCATCAGTGTATATTAACAATGTTTTTGAAAAAAGTAGATGCTTGAAAAATTGTTATTACAATATTTCAACAAACATTATTTCTCCAAACTTTATATTTCTTAATACGCATGATGATAAATTGTATATATGGGGTTCATGTGTAGCACAGTTTACATGGGGATGTTCAGAAGAATATGCCAGATAGACGATATATTCATGTGTCTCATAGCACTCAAAGTAAATGTAAGATAGTCATTGCAAACATAAACTTTCTCATCATGAAAACTTGGCAAAATGACTGAAAATTGTGACTTTCATGAGGTGATTATCAGGTTTACTGATTATCTAAACAGTCATTTGGTTCAGCTCATGTTTATACGACTTCTTGAATTCCAGAAGCTGGAATTAACGTTTAAAGACATCACAGAAAGAGTCTGTTGTTATCCAGATGTTTCTGGTCCACTTTGTTTTGGCGATCATTTGGCATCAGAACAAATGTAAGCCTTCTATAAAAGGGAGGTAACTCTATAATGACAATTTCTTGAGTAAACATGTAAAATGTTACCTATAAAAACGTTACACAATGTCTGTCTTTTCTTAAATACCAATGGCAAAAGCCTTCAGTGGCACATAAAGTACCTCTTTGTACAGTGACACCTTGTGAATCAGGACAGAACTTACAAGTGAACTTGTCAACATTAATCAATTTCAAGATAAAAGAATCCTGTATATTAAATGTAGTTACTGTGACTCCAGACTAACAGGTTCTGGTCTAACAAAGTTTCATTGTAACACTGTATGTTAAGACATTTTGACTAACTTGTCTCAGTGACACACTGTACAACTACAAGACTACACATTTAATCAATTAATCTTGAACAAACTCAGTTTAAATGTGTAAGATAAACCTCAACATAATGACTTCCACATATCTAAACCAACAAAGACACACCAAGATGCTCTTCAACACAAACTTGTACCTACATTGAACAATAATTGAAAAAATAATTTCCCACGAATTTGTTAAAATAACAAAACACTTGATTCGCACTAACATTGTTCTGAAAGTATGACGATAAAATGCATGTAGATCAACATAGTTTCCCTTGCTGGTGTATCTGACATAAGTCTTCAGTGCCCCAGAGAACTGACACTCATCCCACCAACTTCCCATCTTCCTTCAGACAAGCTCGGAGGTTAGTGAAAAAGTCGACCATGGAACCAGGGATGGCAGAGTCCACTAGCTTCTTCGGGCACATCCCTTTTATATCCGGCTGTATCAAGGTCACCAGCTTCGTATGATTTGGTTTACTGTTGGCAAACAATAACACATATCTGAAATAAGGCTGGACAATCAATACAATTGTGCTTAGGTTTTGGTGTTGGAACATTTTGTGAATGCAAAGCACCTTTTTCAGTCTGAAAAATAGTTCAGGTGCATAGTTTTATATTAAGAAATTTTGATCATTCAGAGATAAGCTAAAGGCACACCAATTTCATTTCTAATTTCATCTAAACGCAGCATTTTAATCCCCCTAAATTCTTGCTGTTTCAAAATTGGTCCGCACTTTCAGTATTTTCAGACTGATTTATCTTATAATATTCTGATTCAGTGGATGATTAGATGTTGCTTAGTGCTGTATCAGCTATCTTGCAGGGTTGTAGAATTGGAGAAATAACTCAAGTTGTCTCCCTTTGACTGAAGCCAAATATAAAAAGATCCAAGTTTTAAACTGACCTATTCCCCAAAATTGGTTAAGAGTAAAATCTCAAAATGTGACAGCAATTTACATGTTCCCAAAACAAAATTTGTGCATACTACATGTTTAAACATAGGAACAATGTCCTTGGCCTCATGTTTTCTTAAATGACGTGAAGAAACGGATCTTACTCTGGAAACTTCTGGCACAGCATGCCACAGGAGTAGTTCCATCCTCGGACATACTTGTCCTGGAGCGGGCACTCGTCATCACAGGAGACGCTTACACCTGGAACATTGCATCACAGACTTTAGGGCTTTGTTTCTACACATTGACTATCTACACTTTTATAATTCCAGAAGGCGCCGCGATTCGCTGTGCAGAGTTGCGTCCCTTGATTACCCCTGAATCCTGGTTCGCCCCGATTATGTTTCTAGGTTTGTCAGCACCATACCCATGCTCGTGGGTTTAACCGAAAGGGTAAACCCCCAAGGCCTGCATCACTTCGGGCTTTCCTCCCACATTAAGCTGACACGTCGTGATATAACTGGAATACTGTTAAAAGCGGCGTTAAACCCAACTCACTCACTCACTTAAATTCCAGAAACAATATACTTAAGATTTCACATTACTGTAACTTAACCAGGTGTAAGGAGCACTGTTGGCCCATTATCTAAGGCACTGCCATTTTCAGTGCAGAGTTTTGTCCCTTAGTTGCCACTATTTGTCAGTCATGGGTTTGAACCCATGCTTTGCCCTGATAATGATCCATGTTTGTCAGCTATACACCTGTGCATGCTTGTGGGACACAGTTCCTCCCATATTAAACTGACATAACTGAAAAAAGTTCAAAGCGGTGACAAGCTGACTCACTCACACACACCTAATTTAATTTTCTAAATAAATGCCATGTTTTGTGAATTAATGATATGGGTTAAATGCATTTTAACTATGTTTCAGTGACATCATATAGACAGAAAAGCCTAAGGGATTGCAGATTGTAGATGTTTTTCTTTCATGAAACCCACAACCACAAGTAATATGCTGAAAGATATTCAACTTTTAATAATTTGTATCAAGCTTACATGGATGAGGGAAGAAAAGATGTAACATTGGAACATAAAATTACCACAGTGTCAGCCTCACTCACCATTGGTAGATATGAAGGTGTCTTCTCGTATTGTTAGAATGCAATCCAGGAAGTCCCGTGGAGATATTAAACCCATGCAGGCACTGTCAGTACATGTTCTGTTGATTCTCAGATCCTGAAATACCGAAAACTTCATAGAGGAGTCCACACATTTACTTACATATACCTTCAGTTGGGGATAAAGAGTTATACCCACTGGAAATAGAACATGCTCTATATATCCTCTATAAGAAGATATGGAGGTTTATTACTCAATGAAAGCAGAACATGTTCCGCATTTACCTTCTGTAAGGAGATACAGGTTTGTTTATATTACCTATTGGAAGCAGAACATGTTCTGTATACACCTTCTGTCTTGAGATAATGGTTGATATTACCCCTTGGAAGCAGAACATTTTCCGTATATGTTCTGCTTCCACAAGGTAATATCAACCATTATCTCCTGACAGAATGTATATACAGAATATGTTCTGCTTACAATGGGTAATATCAACCAGTATCTCCTGACAGTAGGCATATACGGAAAAGGTTCCGTAGATACTGGTTAGTATTATCCATTGAAAGCAGAACATTTTCCGTATATACCTTCTGTCAGGACATGGTCTCCAAAAAAACACCGACATCAAGAAATTGTTTTCCCCCTTGCAGCAACTGCTGAAAGGAACTCGCACTGCCTCTTTTATATCAGTTAGTTTCTGCTGATCAAACAGAATTAGAAAATTCTGATTGTCTCTTGGTAAATACGCAACTATCAGCATTATCTGAAACTTAAACTGTTGTTTGGCCATTCTATAATGTCAATACATTAAGTTATGGGAGTAACAATAGGGATTTCCTAAGGGATTAGAGACCTAATCATAAACTTGACCAGGGGAGATAAATTATATGCGTGACAATCTTTCTCAAAAATTGGAATATTAAGAGCAAATATCCTAAATATCCATATCTAATCAGTCATATTGCAAATACTAACTTCAGAAATTTCCCTGATTGTCTCTATCTTCTTCATGGCCTTGTCCCACTTCATACGCAGCGAGTTGCCTGGCAATGGGTCGACATACTGAAAAACCACATCTGGTGGGCAGTTGAACTCGCTCTGACCACGATATCTGGAAAAACAAAGCATTAGCACAAAATCAACCAAATGTTTTAAAGCAACCAATGTTATTCATGTTTTCTTTAAAATTGTGTAGTTTTGTGGTTTCGCTGTTCCTGACTGATTTCTGTGTTTATGTACATTTTGTAGTGAATGGTAAGGAGAAGATGGATTGATGTGTTTTGTTTGTGTGCTGTGTATTCCCTAGTCAGCAATAATCCAGTTATATGGTGGCTTGTAAATAGTTGAGTCTGGACCAGGGAAACCACTTATGGATATTATGAGCAAATATCCACGCCTGAGAGCCTGATCCATTAAGTCGACTTGAATGACTTGCCAGGTACCAATTTTTATCTGGAATCCCCAAGAAGTTCATTGATTGTCACGTCATGTCAGTGTTTTGGAGGAACACTGTGTGCATAGCAGGGGTCAGGAAAATTTAAAATCCTAATCGGACATTTGCATTTAGGCCACGCCCCCTTCAAATAGCGTATTTTCGTACGGCTTTTCACACACATGATAAGTTGTTACGTACAGTGTTCCCTCGTGCACAGCTGATTGCTATTTCCGGCTTAGTTGAAGAGAAATTACACACGGTAATCTTAATCTCTGCATATAAAACAATGCCTTTGAGAGCAGGAAATACATTTTAAATGGTAAAATCATCATGTCTAGTGATGTTTTATATCAAATTTCATACTTTTATTGACCAAGTTTGTTATGCCTGTTTATTAACCTGAAGTCGTTGAAGGGATACAATAACGTTCATCAATTATTTGGACCCCTAAGGTAGTGTTGTTTGTTTTTTTAAATGTCCGGACAGAAAAATTTAAATGTCCGGTAAGCAATATTTTAAATCGGACATTTGAGATTCCCAATCGGACATGTCCGGCGCATATGACCGTTTCCGGACCCCTGGTGCATAGTCCAATCCCTGATTGGCAGTTGGGCATAATGAGTTACTAATGTGTGGAGTTGATGTGAATTTAACCTGACGATACCATACACGATATGGCTGCCCCAAAATCAATTCATATAATTATTCTGCATCTATTTTCAAAACGTAATATCAATGAAGTTTTGCCAAAACCTAGTGTATAAACTATTCAGGCTTAGATTCTACTATACCTTATCATGATACAGGATACCGATCTGATATCCAAATATTAGTTTGAGTCAATTAACTAATCATTCGACTTAAAAACAAACTGGTTAACAGCAACGTGCTAGGCTGCATAGAACATGGAGTATTTGACACAAAAATGGTCCAGATATATACTCACTGCCAAAAGAAACGCAAACTATAGAAACATTTGGAGAAGTATGTTGCATTTCTTTTGTTGGTGAGTATAGTATGGTGATATTCATCATGTAAGTACATGCATTATTGATGCGATAAACCAATCCGGTAAACTTGGCAGCAGGATCTGATGAATATGCAAAGGAAGTCACTTAGCAGGGACTACTTTCAAGCTCAATACACTGATGCAATGCAACTCTTCACTACAATTCCCAATATACCATTCCCAACATGTTTCTGTTCACAAACTTGGCTGTAAGTCAAATGACACTATAAATTGGGCAGTTCACTCAAACATTGTTTCCATATGCTGTTTCTAAACCAACTTCATTGTGTGTAATTACATCTTAAACACTGATTATTTTAAGAATGGCAACAGATGATAAAATATTATTAACCTTGTGTGTATCAGTATCATAACTATCATATATTAGGAATAAATATTTGTGTGATGCTCACCAAAGTCTTGAAGAAATACAATTCTGTATCGTGAAGATCATATATTAGAAATATAAATTGTGTTATGCATTCAAACGCTTTAACCACTTAGGCTAACTACCCAATCGCCCCAGCGTCTTCGTAACTCCACAAAAGAGACTGACCATGTCATTATAGCATAGTGAGTGTGAGTGTCAGTGTGAGTGTGTATGGTTTTACGCCGCTTTTAGCAATATTCCAGCAATATCACGGCGGGGGACACCAGAAATGGGCTTCACACATTGTACCCATGTCGGGAATCGAACCCGGGTCTTCGGCGTGACGAGAGAACACTTTAACCACTAGGCTACCCGACCTCCCCTTATAGCATAGTAAAAGCAGGACCTATTAATCATTCCTCAGGAATAAAAGCTGAGTCTCCATTTTGATACACCAAGGTGGCAATATCTTGCTTCACAGGCTCCAATGAGAACAGGCAGCACTAGATTTGTTAACCATTTCTGAACAAACAAATATGATTTTTACTTATGTCACAGTGAGTAAGCAGTTAGACTCAAATATTCTGTGTCTGAAAGGCTAATATGATAGTAGACTTTGCCCACCTAAATACTGTCAAATTTTAAGATAATATTTGTTTAAAGTGAGTGAGTGAGTGAGTGAGTTTGGTTTTACGCCGCTTTTAGCAATATTCCAGCAATATCACGGCGGGGGACACCAGAAATGGGCTTCACACATTGTACCCATGTCGGGAATCGAACACGGGTCCTCGGCGTGACGAGCGAACGCTTTAACCACTAGGCTACCCGACCGCCCCATTTGTTAAAAGAGAGAAGGAGTAAGCATATACTCAAAAATGTTGTGTTCCTCATAATAAAGAAGTTGACATCCATAAATTCTCTCTCTTACTTGTGTATCACATCTATACGCTATTCAAAGACTTAATATTTGTCATCACAGTAATCGTATCGCAGGTTCAGTTTAGAAGGCCTATGGGATCTATAAAGTAGTTTTGATAATATCACATCAAAAACATACAACTATTATTGAATCGGTTAAATATAATCCCGTATTTGTAATGTTTGCATACATTCACCAAATAGCTGTTCATCTGAAAATTTATAGTTGTCAGGAAAGTTTTTTAAGCCAAAATCGTTAATGGATAACAAGTTTATATAATATTTGTTGTTTGTAACAACGTTCCTGGGATACATTAGGTCTAAAAAGATGTACACAATATCCTTCTGGAACTGAGATAATGACACCAGGACACAGCTACAAAAACAAGATAACTCTCCCACAACGACAAGCAAGACTGTCAGCACTGAGGATCAGCTTTCTGTTAAACAGTCACTTTAGGCTACACCCTGTTATGTGGGAGAAAAGTTCACAAAATCTTTCTGTGCAGATACAGCTGGAGAAGCCTCAGTCAACTATACCCCTCAAAGGAAGTTAAAGAACACCCAATTTTTTTAAAATCACTTTAGTTAATCTGTCATGGCTGGTGGGTATTGCAACACACAGCCTTCCAAATGAAGGTGTTCTTTAACTTGTTTTGAGTGCTTGATGGTATGAAAGTAAGAGGACATGTTGAAAGTGAATGGTGTATTTAACATGACACCCAAGGATGACCAGATTTAAGTTCACTGTAAAACCTTTCTCTGTCCTATATGCTGATATGAAGCATGGTCCCAAAACAGCAATAAATAAGTGTTTCTTTTATTGGTTTTGATCAGTACATAAACTTCACCATTCCTAGAAAATCTGGAAAACTGCTTACACACAAAGATTGTGGCAACAGCTTACTATGTGGTAATTAAAATTACGGGTTGGACAGTTTTCAGAGTATTAGCCTGTATTAATGTTTGAAATTCATTGCTCTGGCTCCTCAGCATACTTGTGATGTGTACAGTAATCATGTTTGCATGAAGATGTCTTATATCTAAAATATTCACTGAACAAAAGCGTTTTTACATTCGATAATAAGATAGACACTAACAAAGTGAGGCAACTCATACTTTGACAAATGTAAATGCTTCAATCTTCGTGGATAGCAAACACTTGAAGTAGCTACCATCATCCAGTGTATGGTTACTTGGAATCATACAACTCCGGGAATTGGAGATACCAAGGGATAGTTGATAACCCCAGGCTGTGAGAGGGAACACAAAATAAATGGCCATGTTTCTATTTTTATCATTATTCACTTTATGTTGATGTTTTTTCTAAAAATAAACAGATACCAAAGTGATAAACAATTGCAATAACTTCTAAATGAACTTGTTTACAGCAGAGTTCTAGCTGAGCAAATGTGGTTAGCTCTATCGGGCTGAGCATAGGTGGGTAATTCTACCAGGGTGATCGAAGGTGGGTAATTCTACCAGGGTGATCGAAGGTGGGTAGCTCTACCAGGGTGATCGAAGGTGGGTAGCTCTACCAGGCTGATCGAAGTTGGGTAACTCTACCAAGCTGATCAAAGGTGGGTCGGTCTACCAGGCTGAGCATAGGTGGTTAACTCCACCAGACTTAGCAAAGGTAGGTAACTCTACCAGGCTTAGCAAAGGTAGGTAACTACCAGGCTGAGCAAAGGTGGGTAACTCTACCAAGCTGAGCATAGGTAGGTAGCTCTACCAGGCTGAGCAAAGGTAGGTAACTCTTCCAGGCTGATCAAAGGTGGGTAACTCTACCAGGCTGAGCAAAGGTGGGTAACTCTACCAGGCTGAGCAAAGGTGGGTAACTCTACCAGGCTGATCAAAGTTGGGTAACTCTACCAGGCTGATCAAAGGTGGATAACTCTACCAGGCTGAGCAAAGGTGGGTAACTCTACCAGGCTGAGCAAAGGTGGGTAACTCTACCAGGCTGATCAAAGGTGGATAACTCTACCAGGCTGAGCAAAGGTGGGTAACTCTACCAGGCTGAGCAAAGGTGGGTAACTCTACCAGGCTGAGCAAAGGTGGGTAACTCTACCAGGGTGATCGAAGGTGGTTAGCTCTACCAGGCTGATCGAAGGTGGGTCACTCTTCCAGGCTGATCAAAGGCAGGTAACTGTCACAGGCTATTCAAGGTGGGTAAATGCAGGCTAGTTAAAGGTAGGTAACGATCACAGGCTGAGCAAAGACAGGTAACTCTAGCAGACGGAGCAAGGATGGGTAACTCTAACAAGCTTGGCAAAGGCATGACAATATTTTCATGAAGTGTAAACCTTTACTTGCATTTGTATCTTGAGATGAAAATAATCACAAAAAGTGTTTAAAATGTCTTTAGTTTCTATATCCATC